TGGATGAAGCCTACCTTTATAATTCCACAAAGCCACAGGTTTTCATTGTGCTCCATTACAACCTTCCAGCTGCCGGTGTCCTAACAACCAATGATGTAACCAATGATGCAACCAATGATCCTCCTTTTTTTTGCCCCTCTCCTGACCCTCTACCTCAGCCCCGAGATGACATTAGCTGAGTCATGGAGAGAAATTGAGGGAGAAAAGAAACATTGGCATACTAGTCAGTACCAGTGTGCAAAGGTGTATTTGCTTTGGAAGAATAAATCACCTCTAACATTGGGTGTCCTACATGTGTTGATTTTGCTGTGTTATGTAAAACCATGTTTAGTTTTTTTACATTTTAGAATGGGGTGCTTTGACATGGTGCAGAATTTTAAAGGGTACCTTGACTAAAAAGAGGTTGAGAAACAGTGGCCTAAGCTATGGCCTATCATACTGACTCCAGCACAAAACTATTGGGTTAATTTACTGAAGAGAGCAAAATCTAGTGCAGCTCTGTAAAGAAACCAATCAGCTTCCAAGTTTCTTTGTCAAAGCATAATTGAACAAACTGAAGTTAAAAGCTGATTGGCAACCATGCACCAGATTTTGCACTCTCCAGTTTTAGTAAATCAACTCCTATTGCTCTTTAACATTCTGGGTCGCCTAAGTGAACAATGGTGAGGTGAAGGAGGACACCTGGCAGTTGATTGCTTTCCTTCCCCAAGCTGTTGCTTGCATGTAAGGTTTTAGAGCATTTCATTTTACTAATGAAAACCAGTCATAACTGAGCCTATAAAAATTGGAGGATTACACATGACATATTAATATTCTCTTGCTATTATATGGCCTATTATTTTACTTAATCAGCCGAAGCATGACCTCCTGGGGTTAAAATTGACAGTTGCTGCTCTCCCAAATACCTGTCCTCATTAAGGTAGTCCTGCAGAATTATAACAACTTTGTACCATATGTTCAGATTATTGCATAATTTTAGCCATACCTGGTTCTATATAGTAGCCCTTTTCAATGAGGGTGCCCAGTCACCCAAAGGTGCCTTGGCAAATGCTTAAAAATTGCCTAAAAATTGTATACAAAGCCAGCAGGTGGACCAAGCCTGCCTTTTAGTTTGATAAGGCACAGGTTTTCATTATGCACCATTACGATCTTCTAGTCACTGGTGTCGTAACAACCAATGATGTCATCAGTTGATATGAAGGATGTCAGAGGCTTGCATAGCATCCTTGTTTGTCCCTCCCCTGCCCTCCTCCATCAGCACTGGGGTCCCATTAGCTGAGTGAAGGAGAGAAACACTGTATTACTAGTCAGTACCAGTGTGCGAAGGTGTTTTTACTTTGGAAGAAATGTGGAGTGTCCTACGTGTGTGGATGTTGCTGCATTCTGTAGAACTGTTTAGTTTTTACATTTTAGAATGGGGCGCCTCGAGATTGTTCAGAATTTTAAAGGGCGTTTTTAATGAAAAAAGATTGACAAACATTGCTCTATAGGGTGTTTGCATCCTCTTTTAAGTCTACTTTCTTTTGAATATAATAAAAAGCAAATAACTCAGTCTGTTATCCTTACACAAGCATAACAACATTAGCTCTGCTTTTCTAATACTGAATGCTTTACATGCTTCCCAATGGGACAGTAATAAGGGTTTCCAACCACCCAAAAGTATTGTGAAATTGGGAAATCGCAGAGAAAACTGGCTGAGATAATTTCCTTTTCTGTAGACAACAGGGAATGGGTATCCACCTTTCCCACATTCCCCGTAAAGCTTTGAGAGAAAGACAAGTCCTGGTAGCATAGGAATCTGTAGATGGACAAATATGTTACCATTTCCTTTTCTCTTGGAATATCTGCATGGCCTAGTTCACTGGTAAAGTGTATGATCCTCTGGACACAGGTGGGAAGAGGAGAGTTCCACTTTTAGTGCTGCAATTCTGTGTGAAGTTTCTGACTCACCTGAAAGATTGTACTTGTAGAGGCACTTTCTGGCTCTGCTCCCGCAGTCTGCACACATCCTTGGAGGCTTTTCTCATTAATTTTTCAGCACTAAGTCCTTGCTTTTGTTCCTCCTTTGATTGTTCAGCCTTCAGACAATAAAAACCACAATTTGTCATTTACTTCTGAGGCACCATTTGCTAGGATGCATTACATAACTTCAATTAGGGGGTTATTCTTTTGTTGGGTAACTAATTTATAGGCAGGTCACATTGAGCTAAAGAGCAGGAAACATATCATTGCGTAATAAGGCACACATTTTTGCTTTCTTGAACCCTTTTTTTACCCCCTGCAAATATTTTTTGCTTACGCAACCACTTTATCCACTGATGACTGCCTATAAGTCTGATCAAATAAACAATCAGGCATCTTATATTCCACCTAGTGACAGCATTATTGATATACTAACTGACGCACTAATTCTTCTATTCTGACTAGGGTCTGCTTTTAAAAGGAATATCACTGCAAGTTTAAATATGACTGAGTTAAACCAATCCCCCCACCCAAAAAAACAGCTTGAGCTGAACTCAGGGATAAACAAATATTGTCTAAACAAGAGCCTTGTGAATTCTTACTTGAATCTTGGTATGCTTCTGTTCTAGATCTGTGCAGTAATCCAGAGTGAAACTCTTCTAATAAAGACCAGTCACTGCTCCTCTGTCTCCTTGTGCAGGGCTGATGGCTGGGTGATCCTTCTGGGTCCCTCTCACACCTCTGCTCTATGCACAGACTATGTGCAGTACAGTGGTGCTGTAAGCACTACTTTAAAACGAAATAGCTGGCCTTGCAAAGGCATTTCCTGCTCACAACATGGATATCCTTTGCGGTTATTGAGGAATATATATAAAGTTTTAGTGCCTGCAATTAAGCTTTAACTTGTGAGTAGTAATCATTGAAGATTAGTAGTGTTCTAAAGGAGAGCACACCATATATAAAATCCAAAATTTATTAAATGCATCTAAAAACACACAGTTATAAACAACATGCATCTCCATTAACCACTTGCCTACTGGGCAATTATACCCCCTTCCTGCCCAGGCCAATTTTCAGCTCTCAGCGCTATTGCACTTTTAATGACAATTGCACGGTCATGCAACACTGTACCCATATTACATTTATATCATGTTTTCACACCAATAGAGCTTTCTTTTGGCGGTATTTAATCGCCGCTGGGTGTTTTATTTTTGCGATATGAACAAAAAAAGAGCAAAAAATAAAAAAAAAAAGAAGTTTTTCTTTGTTTCTGTTATAAAATTTTGCAAATAGGTAATTTTTCTCCTTCACTGATGTGCGTTGATGAGGCTGCACTGATAGGCAGCACTGCTGGGCACTAATGAGGCGGCACTGATAGGAGGCACTGCTGGGCAGCACAGGTGGGTGGCACTGCAGGGCACAGGTGGGTGGCACTGTAGGGCACAGGTGGGTGGCACTGATCATCAGTGCCCTGATGATCAGTGCCGAACCCTTCGCTGACAATTCCCAGTCCTTTGAAGTACCTCATTGTGAAGTACTTTCCTCATGCTGTGACAGTGTGAGGAAAGTGCAGCTGAAAACTGGCAACTGCATTTACCCGGTGATCTGCTGTGTCATTGGACACAGCTGATCACGTTGGTAAAAGGCCGCCGTGATTGGCCGTTTACCATATCACATGATTAGCTGTGTTCGTAGGACACAGCGATCACCGGCGGCTCTGGGTACGCGCCGCTGGGGGCGTGCAGGGGTGTGTGTTCTGGAATGACGTCCATGGACGTCGTCCCAGGATTAAACAACTGCGCTGTAGCCGTCCTTCGGGTATAGTGCGGTTGGGAACAGGTTAATATACTCATAATCACCATATAAAAAATGGGTCAAAGGTGGGACTCAATAAATGGTATATCTTCAATTCACAGTTTGTTTTATCACCTTACTGATGCACAGAAAACCATTATAGTAATGTGTAGTCATAATGCAATCACAGTAAATTCTACACTATAGAAAGGTATTATACTTGCAGGAATGATCTGCAGATATTATATAATATATTAGAACATATCCATGTGTGATAGATAAGACAGCTTGGGGTAGATTTACTAAAACTAGAGTGCAAAGTCTGGTACAGCTGTGCATGGTAGCCAATCAGTTTCTAACTTCAGCTTGTTCAATTAAGCTTTGCATAGAAACCAATCAGCTTCCAGGTTTTTTTGTCAGAGCTTCACCAGATTTTGCACTCTCCAGTTTTAATAAACCAATCCTGCAATGTCAGAACAGCGCATCAACATTTGGCTCATCTTTCTTTGAGTAATAAGTTTGGGTATCGATTCATGTAAGCTGAAGTACATCCTCACATGCACAGTGTATCAATTTTTATCACAGGTGTTGTGAGAAAGATTAACCCATGCACGCATAGCTGAAATCTCCTCATTCACATATATATGCTCCAATATACAGACTGCAATCTTGCATCCGATCAAACCGATACAGTCATTGTATAGTTCCAAAGCTGAGATTGATGCATTAATTGTACAGTGACTGTCCCACCTGTATAGCTGAGTGCAAACTACATTTTGTTTAGTCAGGGTACACCATCATACCATACTCTATTGTTAAAAGGAAACTAAAAAAAAAAAAAAAAAACTAGAAGCCAACACACTGAGCCTCACGTATTAAAGTACTTGGCACTGTGTCAGTCTTTGTCATCCCACAGCAATCAAAAATCACCTTCCCCAATATGGAAAAATAAAATGGAAAATATGACTGGCTGCTTTAGAGCAACAGATCCTGCCTGAAACAAGAAGGTAGTTTGCTAACTGATTTTTCCTGTAATGCTGTCACTGTTCATAGCAAGATATTATTACCTTTTTTTCTGCTTGTTTCAGCAACTTCTGGAAGCGTTCATCCTCCAGGACATATGGTGGTAGTTCAGTCTCCCCATTGGCTTTCATCTCCTCTAATCTTTGCTTTAAGTCTCTTAGGGACTGTAGCTCATCATTAAGTCGGCTCTGTCTAGTCCTCGATGCTTGCAGATCCAGCTCCAAGTCTAAAGAGGTTCTTTCGCGACATTCATGCATTGCTCTTCGTGTCATTGTCGGACATACAGGCTAATAATAGGCATGCAATGCACCATTAAAGGAAATAATGAAAATGAACATTATATCACTATTTCATGTACTTTGCTATATATGTGAAGACTCTTGACTCACTAAGAATGACTGTTATAAACGCTAAATATGAATTGTACCATGCTCCCCATAAGTAAAATGTATGAGGTCATATTCTGTATTTTCTTCTTTTACATTGCACAAATGTCACAAAAGAATAGCATTAAAAAAATGAAATCCACATATTGTTAATGGTAAACTTGGCAATATAATCCAATAGATAAGATTTTCCCAACAATGAATAAATGTTTCAAAAAATAAATTTTGATGGGCTGTCTATTGCTCTGTCAGTGATTCAAAAATGAGGTATTATTAAATAATCCTGATCAGAAACACAAAATTGCCAACACAACAAAAAGTAAACATGTGTACATCACCACCTGCTCTTTAATATATTTATAGGAAAAATCCTCACTGTAATGGTTATCTTTTCTTGACTCTGGTATTCCTCAAATTACCAAGTAGCAGGAGTAAGGCTGGCCATACATGGGTAGTTTCTTTCTGTTCAGCCAGTGGGTTTAATTAAAAAAACAAAAAAAAAAACAAAAAAAAAAAACAAACACAGATTCCTCCATCTACACAAATGAGGTAAATGGTGGACTACCCCACAGGGACATTGTAGTCTGACAGCAGCACCTTCCTCTCTCAGAATACCCTGATCAGTGGCTGCAGCTGCTGATTGTTAGAAAATTTTCCAATATGTCCTTCTGACTTCTGTTGGGTGGGGGTGACCACACCAAACGCTGCTGGACCAGCCAAGTTCTGATAAGTGTATGGCCAGCTTAGGGGGACTGAGATCTGTATGCAGTGCGTGCACCAGGCTGGAGGTGAGATAAACATTACAAAGTAGATTTTATCAGATTTAATTTGGAGTGAGCATTGGTGGCTAGGTGTACACTTTTGTATGTGGGGAAATGCGGGTAAATTGTACACCTTCCTTCACCTGCAGGCAAAACACGCTGCTCTTTAGCAGACACGCAGAGTGCCAATAATTCTTAATGACACCACCCCGGGTATCTGAAAAAGCAGTACATTTTCAGGGGCATAAAACTGCAGTGTAAAAACCATGCGGTTTATGTGCAGGTGTGCTTTTGAAAAGGTGCTGGGACATTTTCCAAAATTGAAAGGGCTGCTGTGCCTGCCCAAAAGCGGCACACAGGGAACGCTTAGAAATGAACATAGCCTCAAACAGGTTTTTGTTCACCATGCAGCATCATTTCCACTTGCAGTCAAATTTGAGAAAAGCCCACTATTTTTATTTGTTCCCATTCACACAGCACACCTAAAAAACAAAATAAAAAAAAACATATTTCTTATGTTCCAGATGATTCTTATGAGATGATGTCATGACTTACTGCAAGCAAGTTCACTTGATCTGTCCCAATAGAAAGGATTAGGGACAGGGACTGCTCCCTTTCAGTAACATACAACAGAGAAGCCCAGCTTGTAAATATTTAACCATTTGTAAGGAGAAACAGTGATAACATCCAATTTACAACTGATGAGATGAGATCTGCTAGCACAGTACAGACAGGGTCAGTTATAGCAATCTAAAGTCCCCAGTCCCCCCATAAACAAAGAGAACTAAGCAGTATTTTTTCAGCACTGCAGTTTCCAGAAAAGAGCATCTAAACAGGGTAAACGTTTTTATTAATGTTGTGCTTTGTGAAAAGGAAGATGTAAGTAAAAATACACACTATATAAATAAGGGACAATGCAAAGCTTTCATTGTTGTGACAATCTTAAACGGTTTCTTATCAAAGTCTATGCAGGTGTTGTAGATTGTTGGTACTTTGTGACAGCCATCATTTTTGAATTTACATCAGCAGATATTCTAGGAACAATAATTTTCATGTTGCTACATACTTGTATGTTTAGCACTTGTAAAATAAATTACTTGATACATACCCTCTTTACTCGCAGACTGCGTCGTTCTGTTGCATTCCTTACAAAAGGAGACTTCTTAGCAAGAGTTGAACTGTCACTGTCACTACGATTCAACTGTAAAAGATATGCTAGTTATAAAAAAAAGATGATGAAAAAGGTGCATTTAAAGTCCATCTATAGCATCTAGTTTCTATTCTCTGAGAGATAAACATTTTTAGTACAAGTTAAAGCATATAAAAATCAAACAATATACGTTTTATATATTGCACTCCTTAGATGTGGTGGCTGCATTAGTTCACTTTTTTTTTTCTTTATTATCACCTGGTAACCCTACAAATAATGCATTTTTTGTCTCTGGGTGGCTACCCTCACTCCTCCACTGTATCTATAGAGAGACCTATGGATGACATTCATACTGGACTTTGTCTTTCTTTGTTCATCTCCATCATATTGGGATGGGTATATTAGAAATTTACAAAAGAAAGATAACATCCAGGTCAACTCATAGGAAGTGGTGAGTACACTTGCATTTCTGACCAGAACAACTATTTTTTGTACTTGCTGAATGGAAAGTACTTTGTACTTGACAATGGCAGTCAGGGTGCCATTGTCTAGCCTGTAGAGGTCTGTGCGTCCCTCCATGGATATGACTCCCCAGACCATCACTGACCCACCACTAAAACGGTCATGCTGAATGATGTTACAGGCAGCATAACATTCTCTGACACATGTGCTCAGGGTGAACGTGACCTCATCTGTGGAAAGCAAAGGGCGCCAGTGGCGGACCTGCCAATTCTCATGTTCAGTGGCAAATGTCAATCGAGCTCTATGGTGCTGGGCAGTGAGCACAGGGACCACTAGAGGACGTCAGGCCCTCAGGCCACCCTCATGAAGTCTGTTTCTGATTGTTTGGTCAGACATTCACACCAGTGGTCTAATGGAGGTCATTTTGTAGGGTTCTGGCAGTGCTCATCCTGTTCTTCCTTGCACAAAGGAGCAGATACCGGTCCTGCTGATGGGTTAAGGACCTTCTACCGCCCTATCCAGCTCTCCTAGAGTAACTGCCTGTCTCGTGGAATCTCCTCCATGCTCTTGAGACTGTGCTGGGAGACACAGCAAACCTTCTGGCAATAGCACATGTTGATGTGCCATCCTGGAGGAGTTGATATGCCTGTGCAAACTCTAGGTATTGCCTCATGCTGTCAGTAGTGACACTGATCCTAGCCAAATGCAAAACTAGTGAAAAACCATCAGAAAAGATGATGAGTAGGGAAAAAATGTCAGTGGCCTCCACCTGTAAAACCATTCCTGTTTTAGGGGTTGTCTCATTGCTGTCTAGCTAGAACACTTGTTGGCAATTTCATTAACACCGAAGCAGCTGAAACTGATTAACAACCCCCTCTGCTACTTAACGGACCAGATCAATATCCCAGGAGTTTGACGTGATGCTATACTGATAAAAAGTGTTCCTTTAATTTTTTTGAGCAGTGTACAATTTATACCAAAAAACAGTGACTGATATGGTTAATGATCTTGGACAGCTATTATTTTGAATACTGTGAACTGTATGTGCTCCTGTTATGGAGGCTCTCAAAATTTATAGAGTTAGGACTGTAGATAAAAAACTGGGGTGATGTGGCGTGGCCTCTGCAGCTTACGCATGTATTTTCAAATGTGTGCAAACAAAACCCCTAGTTTTAACATGTACTGTTAGACAGGACGATTCAGTTTGTTGTGGGCTGGCTGGTAAGTTGAGCTGGGAATTTTTCTTTGTTGTTGTTTGGCACTTTTCCTCATGTTGAGAGGCCAACAGGCCAGGGTTGCAGGGGTACGTCTATGGACAACAAAATCACACTGCATCACACCAAGTAGCAAAGGACCCTTCCGCAAAGTGGCATTGCAGCTGAGCTGCATTTAAATGAACACGCACCATTGACAGGAATGTTATTTTCATTGTGACACGATTCAGTGCAATGCAAGTTACATATGAAATAATCAAATTAGTGTGAACCATGCAATCTGTATGTACACATAGGCACACTCTCAACCAAGGGTGTAAATATATTGGAAAGTTAAATAATTGGCCAACCTTGCCATAACATGCTTCCCCTGTTTTCTAAACACAGCCGCCCCACCTTCTGGTCTCCTGAAGTTACCCTCTTGCTTGTAGCTAATGCACTGAGCAGTATAGTCCTACATTCCATCACACTGTAGATATACTGTGCATTATGCAATTCCGCAAGTGTGATATTAGGATTGTAACAGGAATTAGTTGTCCATAGCAGTGACACCAGCAAACGCATACAGAAAACACCGGTTTGCTTTCTGTCCATCTAAAATTCACTTCCAGATGAGAAGGAAAAATCACCCTACAGGGTTAATATCGCCACTGCATTTCAAGCAAAGGGTGTGACTTCATTCAGGTAGAGATAATGTTGTTTTTGGCAAGAATTCAACTTTTAATGCAAGACTTAAAGACACTAGGGTCAGCTTAAACAAGAAAAGAGCAAATGAGGATTTCTGAACGATGTCTCTGCGTAGGACTGGATGAAAGGCCAAGATGCTGATCTGATTCTTTAAAATGGCCTGAGATTATCTGGTGATATTTGATATCGGAAGCATAAATAATGGAGATGCCAGATTTAACCATGAACATGATATAGAATATACAGGATGCGCAGTGACCTCTAATGACCTAGAAAATGTGCCAAGTGTAAATGAACAGGATATAATTCTCTTCTCTAGTTATCTGATGGTCATTTCAAAAGTGGTCAAGTTCCAGGAGCACAGAACATGGTAAATGAAATGCTCAAATGTTCTTTCATCCATTCAGTATTTTATTAATGTTATATAAATACTGATAATAGTACAATCTTGCCTTTTCTGTGAAATATTTTCTACATATGCACATCTTCTATAAGAACTACTAAACAAATATATATATATATATATATATATATATATATATATATATATATACACACACACCCACACACTCAATCATATTAGTGTTATATGCACTTCTTCATTTGATTTATATTTGGCTGTATACAATCCACATCATGTGATTTAGCGCTGCCCCTATACTAGCCATACGTTTATACAGATTGTCAGAATATAAGGCAAACTGCTTTTTTTTTAATGTTTTGACTGCTGAAAGCACGTTTTTTCCTAGGATTTATAAACGCAAACCATGCATTCTTCTTTGTAAGGTGCTCTTATAAGAAGACCACTTACCCTACAAATATACTGGTTTTTCTCTCCTGGGGAGAATGTCTGTGACCGTACGATCATGCTGTTTCTAACGAATGGTCGCTGTCTTCCGCTAAGACTACTTCTGTCCTTTGGTCGCACTGAAATATTTTCATGAACGGTTTCTTCTGTATTTGTTTCTTTGTCGACCTTCAGTTCAAGAACAAACATGAAAGGTAACATTGAGACATTATAATTTTAAAGTGACATTAAATTGTATTTTTAAAAAAAATATATATTCAGGTATGTATTCCTAATTCAGAAATGACCTATTGCCCCCTCCAAATTTCTTTTTCTTTTTGCTGCTGTGACCCAAAATTCCTGTTAGAGGGTGGCTACATTTATTTGCCATGGCCCACTGTATGTAGGAACATAGCTACTCTCTCTTGCCCAATCCCAAGATGGCCTAGGAATATGAGATTTGTAGTGTGCATAGAGCAGTGCACATTACAGTAACTAACTAGCACTGCTCTTTCCAAATAAATGGAAGTGAAGGAGAAAAGGAGAGGTTCAGGAGCTCACAAAGCATGTTGCAAGGAGTCAGAAAACACAGTAAAAAAAACGTAATAAAAAAATAGATGACAGAGCCATTAAGTAAACATGTATAGATTATTTTTGGAGAATAAGGATATCATTAAGTATCTCTGTCACCTGTGCCTTCCAACACCCAGTGTAGTGATTTGTGTGCCAGCCCCATACTCAAAGTAAGGATGAGCTAAATTTGAATTGTTTGCTCTCAGGCCATGTTGACTGTGTCATCTAAGTGAACACAATCTTAAAAGCAGTATTAGAACCAAAAGCAAACATTATATTGCAGCTTACTAATTCTTAGATGGGATAGCTGTATTAGTTTTCTTTTTTAGGCTTTTCATCTGGTGATTCAGCCAGCAGTTTTTTAAGAAGTTCAAACTCTCCAGCAGAATGTATCAGTTTACACGGATGAGACAAACCAAAAAGGAAAAAGCAAAACAGTTTTCTATAACCGATTATAAAGTGTGACCTGGAGTTTGCCTTCAATTTGTTATTGTATTCAAATCTGCTAATATATTCAACGCTCCCATTCTTCCAGACTGACAATGCTGTCTGCTGTGTCCTGTGCTCATTTCTCCAGAATGCTGTCGGACTAATACAGGTGGTGTGCTACTGGCCAGATCACCAGGTGAAAACAGAGAGGAAAAGCCAAAGAAAAGAAAACTGATGGAGCCACTACATGTAAATGATTGGTATATTGCAATATATTACATTTATGGATTTGGGTTTTCGCTCCTCAAATATTGTACTTGTATTGCATTTGTGGTGAAATGTTTCTTAATATTACCAGAAGACTTTAGAGGATAACCATGTAAAAAATAATGCAAAAAAGTCAATGTATTATAATACCAAGCAGAGTAAAATAGAGCAGATTGATTCCCACAAAGTCATACTTGTACCTCCATGAAGGATACACACATAGGTAAAATTGGTTTGTTTTCTCAATAAATTATACTTCATATGATTTAACTATCTATTAATATGGAGAGAACTTATGAAAAAAATGAATAGTTTTAGAAGACACTGGTAATAAATGTACATTGAATGCCATAATTAGGATCAGTGATAAGTCATTTAGTAAATAGGGTTTATCGGTTCTATTAAGCTGGCCACACAACCATTTCAACCAGCTTCCAGTCACAAAAAGCACCAAACATCTCAATGCTTCACATCACGTGAAATATTCCTTTAATCACTCGAGTGCACGTCTAGTTAACAATAGACATTTATCAGTACCTTCAGTATTGCTTGAAGGTGTATAATAATATCTAACCTCTTTAACTTTTGTTCATTGACCTAATTCATGTTAATATTTATGTCCCATAGCTGCATACCCTGTAGTTACTTCATACAACTTTATATCTGAGATCTTGCTAAGGAGTTGCCCTGCTTTTCCATTTAGCAAAAGGGGGGCTCTTAAAAAAAACCCAAAGATGGAGAAATAAGGAAAGCAGTGATCTCTGTTGAACTGACCTGTATGATCTCATTCTGCACTACCATTGGAGTGTCTTTCACCTACAAATAGTGCAAAGTAAAAATCATTGTGTATGGGGGTGGGGGCTTCTATAAGGGAATCTGTGTGTTAGCTATCATAATTTACAGTAACTAATTCGGGGGATTTACAACCAACGACAGCAGGTGCGGACATATATATTTGTGGACTATGATGCCATTTACCAGTGTTGGCAGTTCAGCAGCAGGAAGTGGAGTAGAGGTAGGATCCCAGCTGTTTGTTTCATCGTAAGATTCTGTCTGGGGCTCTTCTGGGTCAGTAGATAATTGCAATGAGGAAGAGTAATACTCATTCATATGTTTTGTGGGCCCAGGTTCATCAAGAGTATCAAATGCCTCTTCTCCCTGTAGTTCCAACCTAAGGCCAAGAGAAGATTACAGAATAAAGTAGAACGGTTTCATCCTTTTCAATTTTCACAATTAATAAATGAGTGAACAGAAAATTAACTGCATTGATTCACCAAGCCAAGTAACTGTAAAACAAAAAAGGAGCTTGTACTCACTGTGTAAAATTTAGCAATACATAGCCACCAACCAGATTGTTGATATCAGATACACCAGAAAATTATTTCTGAGTCGTGATTAGTTACTGAACTTTGTTCATAAACTCTGCTTCGTAAATTGTATAGGCTTATCCATATTCTGGATTGAACCCCACCTCTGAAATGGGGACATTGTCTGAGCTATATCCTTTTTGTAAACGTTAGGTTAAAATGTAGCAATCACCCATGTAATATTTGTAACTACAGGTCAAACTGTGATCTTCTGAAAAATAAAACAAATATCTACTAAGCTGAACCTGGGTAGAATTTCAAAAGCTTTGAATACACACAGTATCCTGATCAACCATATTGATTAGGATATAGTGTTCTAATAGAATACAAAGAAAGAAGAATGTCCTACTTTTGTCATGCGCTTAATGAGTATGTTAATGAATTAATGGTAATTAGTCATGAAAAATAAACCAATAACAAGCTGTCCATTTAAAATTTTTAAACATCAATATACCCAGACCAATACAAGGCAAAGTTAGTCAAGGTGAATAAAAGAATGGCGACAAAGATGTTGTTTTGTTCATGTTAGTTTTGTGCACTGTTGACAAATATTAATGCAGGATATGAATTCAGAAAAAAATTAAAAAAGGAAATTGTAAATTTTTTGTAGGAATGAATGAGGGTACAGAGTATATGTGCAGGCCAGGGTAGGAATGTATATACACACACAGATATCTATGTCTCATATACAGCAGGTAAATTAAGTACTGTACACGTCACCATTTTTCTAGGTAAATACATTTCTAAAGGTGCTATTGCCATGAAATTTCCACCACATGTCGGTAACAACTCATACAATTACACACGAAGAAACCAAAACAAATAAGTTCAGAAAATAAGTTATGTGTAATAAAATTGAATGACACAGGGAAAAAGTATTGAACACATGAAGAAAAGGAGGTGCAAAAAGGCATGGAAAGCCAAGACACCAGCTGACATCTATCAGTAATTAGAAAGCAATCCTGCCCCTTGTCAGTGTAAATTAATATCAGCTGGTTCAGTCTCAACTGATGGCCTATAAAAAGGTGTCTCATTACCAGGGTATCACACAAGAAACATCTCACGATGGGTAAAAGCAAAGAGCTCTCTCAAGATCTTTGCAACCTTATTGTTGCAAAACATACTGATGGCATTGGTTACAGAGGGATTTCTAAACTTCTGAATGTTCCAGTGAGCACTGTTGGGGCCATAATCCAGAAGCAGAAAGAACATCATTTTACCATACACCGGCCATGACCAGGTGCTCGTCGCAAGATTTCTGACAGAGGAGTGAAAAGGATTATCAGAAGTATTGTCCAAGAGCCAAGGACCACTTGAGGAGAGCTTCAGAAGGACATGGAATTAGCAGGTAGAATTGTTTCAAAGAAAACAATAAGTAATGCACTCAACCACCATGGCTTGTATGCACACTCACCACGAAAGACTCAAATGTCTGAAGAAAAAGCATGTTGAAGCTGGATTAAAGTTTGCTGCATAACATTTAGACAAGCTTGTGAAACAATGGGAGAACATTGTCTGGTCAGATGAGACTATGGATGCCATTATACACACCATGTTCAGAGGTCAAATAGCATTGCACATCACCCTGAAAACACCATGCCAACAGTGAAGTTTGGAGGTGGGATGGTGTGCAACTGACTTTCAACATAAGGTCCTGGCAAACTTGAAGGAAGGATGAATGTAAAAATGTACCAAGACATTCTTGATAAAAATCTGCTGCCATCTACCATGACGATGAAGATGAAACAAAGGTGGACATTTCAGCAAGACAATGATCCCAAACAAAAAGCCAAGGAAATTCCTAATTGGTTTCAAAGAAAGAAAATAAAGCTGCTAGAATGGCCTAGCCAATCACCTGAGTTGAATCCAATAGAATATCTATGGAAAGAACTAAAGATCACAGTTCATAGAAGAGGTCCATGGAATCTTCATGATTTGAAGACTGTTTGTGTGGAAGAATGGGCTAAAAAACACACCTGAGCAATGCACGCGACTAGTTTCTCAATACAGGAGGCGTCTTGAAGCTGGCATTACCAACAAAGGATTTTGTCCGAAGTATTAAATACATTTCAGTTAGCGTGTTCAATACTTTTTCCCTGTCATTTTATTACACATGTGGTGAAAATGTGGTGAAATTTTCATGGCAATAGCACCTTTAGAAAACAAATGGTGATGTGATCAGTACTTACTTTACCCGCTGTATGCATACATATACAGTACACTGTACATAAAGCTAGCAAAGCTCACTGTAAACAAAGCACGATTTTATATCTAGAACCCATCCTTTTGCTTGACTGGGGTGATCATGTTACATACTGTGTAATTTATTTGACGTAACTGTTGATGTTGATAAAAAATAGCTTTTTGTGTAAATATAAAAATTGGCAATAAAATAAAAAAAATTATAAAAACAAAAATTGATAAAAAGTGTTCTGCAGCTTTTTTTTTTTCTAAAGTAGATCCTGAAATAAACATAGGGGACTCCTGCACACTCCAAAGAGTATCTCGTTAGCCAGTGCTAAATCATTGAGCTATATATAGCTACATATAGACACACTCCTAAACCTTGTTAACAGCCTTCCCAGAAGAGATGAAGCTGTTTTAGCAATAGTGTGTGTGTATGTATCTATATATATATATATATACACACATATACACACACACACATATATATATATATATATATATATATATATACACATACACAGTTGCAAGAAAAAGTATGTGAACCCCTTGGGATTATGTGGAGTTTTGCATGAATTGGACATAAAATGTGCTCTGAACGTCATCTAAGTCACAACAATAGAAGAACACAGTCTGCTGAACATAATACTACACAAACATTAGATGTTGCCATGGTTTAATTGCACATAACATGTAAACATATATATATACACATACACACCATTACCAAATTTTTTTTAGGAGTGCGTCTATGGGAATGTTTGACCATTCTTCCAGAAGCACATGTGTGAGGTCAGGCACTGATGCCAGATGAGAAGACCTGGCTCGCAGTCTCTGCTCTAATTCATCCCAAAGGTGTTCTATTTCGTTGAGGTCAGGACTTTGTGCTGGCCGGTCAAGTTCTTCCACCCCAAACTCGCTCGTCCATGTCTTTATGGACTTTTCTTTGTGCACTCGTGCGCAGTCATGTTGGAACAGGAGGGGCCATCCCCAAACTGTTCCCACAAAGTTTGGAGCTTGAAATTGTCCAAAATGTCTTGGTATGCTGATGCCTTAAGAGTTCCCTTCACTAGAACTAAGGAGCCAAGCCCAACCCCTGAAAAACAACTCCACACCATAATCCCCCCACCACCAAACCTTACACTTGGCACAATGCCATCAGGTAAGTACCATTCTCCTGGAAACCGCCAAACCCAGACACGTCCATCGGATTGCCAGAAAGAGAAGCGTGATTCATCACTCCAGAGAATGCGTCTCCACTGCTCTAGAGTCCAGTGGTGGCATGCATTACACCACTACATCCGACCCTTTGCATTGCACTTGGTGATATAAGGCTTGGATGCGGCTGCTCGGCCATGGAAACCCATTCCATGAAGCTCTCTATGCACTGTTGTTGTGCTAATCTGAAGGCAACACAAAGTTTGGAGGTCTTTAGCTATTGACTCTGCAGACAGTTGGCGATGTCTGCACACTGTGTGCTTCAGCATGTGCTGACCCCGCTCTGTAGTTTTACGTGGTCTACCACTTCGTAGCTGAGTTTCTGTTGTTCCCAGTTGCTTCCAATTTGTTATAATAACACTAACAGTTGACCATGAAATATTTAGTAGCAAGGAAAATTCACAGATGGACTGATTGTACAGGTGGCAACTTATCACAGTACCGTGCTTGAATTCACTCCTGAGAAGTGAATCAGGAATTCACTCCTGATTCACTTCTCTCAACTGTTTGCAGAAGCAGTCAGCATACCCAGGTGCTTGATTTTATACACCTGTGGCCATGGAGGGGATTGAAACACCTGAATCCAATGATTTGGGCGGGGGTGTATATCCTTGTTTTACAAATAAAGATCTGAAGCAAAATGCACCCACTGCACAAGATTCCCAGAGAAGTATGGTTTTTCTAAAGAGGGAGTGTCTTGGACTAGGTCACTTACAGACCATTTACCGTGATCTACCAGTGAGCCAAATTAATATGAGAATACGTGCACGTGGAAGTAAGACACTGACACTTCGCAGTTTGCCAACTTCCTAAAATTCTGTTTTATTGAGGAACTAACAGTATCATTTATAGGGCATATGATGCAGGCAAAGCATATACATTGATTGGGTGAAAAGTCCACTGGGTTTCTGCGTGTTCGTCCATCCGTGTTGATATCAAGAGCAAGAAACAGAATGTAGCAAGACTATAAAATTGTCATTTTACTGATCATCTAATAAAATGTGGACTGTCTATCACAATCCACTACAGGAGCACAGAGGAAGCACTTTCTGACACTCATCTCTGATTGAAACTTTGTATTTGGCACTCACGAGGAAGGGAAGATGGTGTGTATAAATATCAGGTGGCACTATTAAGGTGTATTTCTACCTTTTCAGTGAAATTAAAATAACATTTACTTTATATTTGTCCCCTGTTAATATTTACATAGCAAAAAATGTTAGGTTAAGGAGGAGGCTGGGAAGTTATGTCTGCTACTGAAACTACATTTCTTTGTTTTGTGTTGGCAAATCTTCATTATCTGTTGTAAACTAGATGTGAACTCTGTTCATCCTAATAATGGGTAAGTATCTCAAGGCTTGTGTGGTAGATTGCGCGTTGAAGAATTTTTTTAAACCAATCTCTCCCTAAAGTATCCTCATAGTATATTGTTCAGCAAGTTATTCTAAATAATTCAAGCTGCCAACTAGAAAGGTAAGAATCATTTTAACATTTTTGTTTTAGGCAAGTAGTGTGAATGGGAACGCAACATTTAGAAGGGTTTCTCAAATTTGACTGGAAGGTGGAAATACACTTTAAGCTTTGTAAACATCAGGGTTTTGTCAACAAAGGAGACCAGAATAGCCTGGAAAATCTGTTTAGAGCTCCGCCTGCTGACAACATATAAAATTACAAAATTTTCTTAGGAAGTATTCTATATTTAGTGAATGGTATTTTTAGACCATAATAAGTAATGAAAACAATATATACAATATCAGTACACATTCCCATATATTGAACTCCAGGCACTTCAACCAATGCCTGGCAAAACACAATTAGATTTATCATTTCACATCACCTGGAGAGCCATACGTTGTGCTCTTATAAGGCTAAACTTCATCACTGTATTACAGACTAGTTGTGACCTTTCACAGTTTTCTGAGACGGCATTGAACATACAAACAGCATATGTTTTACAGATGGCCTATGAAATGTGCCTGAACACTGATGACTTACCATTCCTCTCCCAAACATGTCTGCTCCTGATCATCCTCATCTGCTTCTACCTGGGCTAATTCACGCTTCACTGCTTCCAGCTCTGCAGATGTCCTCACAAGCAATGCTGACACAGCATCCTGCAATAAAACAGGAGATAAAGCCTGTCAGCAGCTGATCATGAAAGGGAAATCAGACAGGGAGATAGAGCAATTTTAACTACAACTCACTAATCTTTAATTGAAGTTCTGTTTGACTTCTGTCATCTTGTATCAGCCATTGTAGCAGGAATGAAACAGTATACACCCTCTGAAAATAAAACCAGCTACTTTTCAGAAGTCAGGCTATACTTTTACACTCCTTCTTCAAAGGCAGATGTAAGGAGACAGGAGTCACTTGTTCTCTTCTGGGAGGCTGAAAAGTTACAGACACAAAGTAATTTCTGATCCTTGAAAAATGCTCATTTCATGCAAAGCAAGAAAAAAGATTTACATATTACTGTGATTATAAAGAACCAGTCTGGTGTGACAGATCAGAAGGAAAAAGGAATAATTATTATTCTAATTACAATAAAATAGTTGACCATCGCAACCCAATTTTTAGCTATTTTCATAAAGCAGATTCTTACAATGTTATTTTAATGTCTTTTTATCAGATGTTCTCCCCCCTCCCCCATCTATATTTATTATTATCGTTGCAAAACTAGTCATTGCTTAATTTGAAAGTCAAACATGTTTTTGTTAGTCTTTGATTTACTAACCTAATCTTAGAACCTTTTAATAAAACTTTTTATTGCTGTTTGTGTCCCTGTTTACTCCTCAATTCCTGGATATTTGACATGTTCAACAAAGCAGGAAGTGTGGGAAAATCTCCCCACTTTTCATATATATGATGGCTAGAAGAGAACAGGAAGTGAGGGGAAATATCCTCATTAACTACACAAGCCATAAACATATTTTTCAATAGGGAGATGCTAAAACCTTTTATTATATTTTCATTTCTATTTGCATCCCAATGAGTGACATTTCCCTTATCTTCCAAACATCTGTCACTTGGGCATGAAAGAACAGGAATAGGAAAGAGATTTCTAACTGTATGTGGGAACATAGAGCACATGTAAAATCTGACAGAAAGGATTCTTCAAAGAGCTATAACTATCTCCCACCCTCTCAAAAATGAATAATAACGTATTGGCTAGTCACTTGCACTCCTGAGGATTTAACCCCCTTATTGACCAGGACTCTTGTTACTCGCTGCTGCACTAATTCAACTGATAATTGCGCGGTCATGCAATGCTGTACCCAAACGAAATTTATGTCCTTTTTTTCACACAAATACAGCTTTCTTTCGGTGGTATTTGATCACCTGTGCGCTTTTTATTTTTCACACTATAAACAAAAAAAAAGACCACAAATTTTGAAGAAAAACAATATTTTTTACTTTCAGCTATAAAAAAATATATAGTAAACTCAAAGTTAGTTATAAATTCAGGCCAAAATGTATTCTGCTACGTTTTTTGGTAAAAAAAAAATATCCCAATAAGTGTATATTGATTGCTTTGTGTGAAAGTTATAGTGTCTACAAACTATGGTATAGATCAGTGGTGGGCAACCTTTTTTTTTCAACTGAGCCAAATCTCGCCAAAACCACGATTGAAATTTATTTTGAGAGCCACATTTTTAAAACTGAAAATACATCCCTAATATAGTAATTCATCCCCCATAGTAATTCATCCCCCATATAGTAATTCATCCCCCACGTAGTAATTCATCACCCACATAGTAATTCATCCCCCATGTAGTAATTCATCCCCCATAGTAATTCATCCCCCATATAGTAATTCATCCCCCATATAGTAATTCATCCCCCCTATAGTAATTCATCCCCCCTATAGTAATTCATTCCCCATATTGTGTCAATTCATTTACCTTTGCTCCGCGCGTTCCTCTCGCCGTGTTCCCGCGCCCGTTCCGGTCTTCAGGGCGGACTGTGAGAGGAGAGGAGTTCGTCACGCTGCCCCGCCTACATCCTGACAGCCAATGTTTGCCACGCTCCGCGCGGGCCGGATTAAAAGGTCCGCCGGGCCGTAGTTTGCCCATTGCTGGGCTAGCTGCAGAGTCCTGACTTTTGGGGCGGCCGCCCGAGAGGAGGGAGGGGAGCGGGCGCCCGGCACACAGAAGAGCCGCAGCAAAGGTGAAAAAGAGCCGCATGCGGCTCTGGAGCCGCGGGTTGCCGACACCCGGTATAGATACTGCAATTTACGCCATTTTTTTGCTATACAGCGCTGCGCTAGTTTAATGGACAATTGCGCAGTCATGCAATACGATACATAAATGAAATTTATGTCTTTTTTTTCACACAAATAGAGCTTTCTTTTGGTGGTATTTGATCACCTATGCACTTTTTATTTTTGGCGCTATAAACAAAAACATTTTTTAAGAAAATTTTTTTTTTTAAAAACAATATTTTCTCATTTCAGTCATAAAAAATATCCAAAAAAACTAAAATGTCACCATAAATTTAGGCCAAAATGTATTCTGTTACATGTTTATGGTTAAAAAAATCCCAGTAAGTGTATATCTATTGTTTTTGTGTGAAAGTTATGGCATCTACAAAACTTTGGTATAGATAATGGAATTTACACAGCTTTTACTTTCTGACTGCCCATCACATTTCTTGAGGTGCTAAAATACCAGTAGAGTATAAACACCCTTAAATTACCTTTTTTTGGAAAGTAGACACCCTATCTATCTGGTAGCTATCTGCTGAGAGGCATATTGAGTCCATGGAAGATTTATTTTTTTTCAGTTTCTGGAAAATTACAAAAACATTTTTTTTTTTTTTTTTACACAAAGTTGTCATTTAAATGATTTATTTCTCGCACAAGCCATGGGTATGTGTGGAATTACACCCCAAAATACATTCTGCTACTTCTACTGAGTATGGGGATACAACATGTGTGAGAGTTTTTTTGGGAGCCTAGCCACATACAGGAGCCTGAAATCCAATGACCACTTTGAAAGCCTGAAGGTGCGTAACTTACTCATTACCTATCACAGTTTTGAAGGCCCAGACATGCCAGGATAGCACCAAACCCCCCAAATGATCAATTTCTGGAAAGTAGACACCCCAAGGAATTTAAAAAGGGGCATGGTGAGTATTTTGCAGATCTCATTTTTTCTCACAAGGTTTTGAAATCTAAAAAAAGAATAGATATGTTTTTGTTTTTTTTCTTCATTTTCCAAAAACTTGTGGCAACAAATGAGATCTGCAAAATACTTACCATGCTTTTATCAAATTCCTTGGGGTGTCTACTTTCAAAAAAGGGGTCATTTAGGGGGGGTTAGGTGCTATCCTGACATTTCAGGGCCTCCGAAACTGTGATAGGTAGTTAGGAAGTGTAATGAGGAAATAAAGCCCTTTAAAAGCCTGAAGGTGCTTATTGGATTTTGGGGTCCTGTACTTGTCTAGACTGCCAAAACGTCTCTCACATGTGGTACCACCATACTCAGGAGAAGTAGCAGAATGTATTTTGGGGAGTAATTCCACATATACCCATGGCATGTGTGAGCAATAAATCATTTAAGTGACAATTTTGTGTAAAAAAAAAAAGAAATTCTTCTATTGATTCAACATGCCTCTCAGCAAATAGCTTGGGGTGTCTACGTTCCAAAAAGGGGTCGTTTCGGGGGGTGGGGGCGTTTTATGCCCAGCATTAGAAGTTTATGCCACACATCACTCACTCTTCTAACCACCTGAAGATCAAGCCTTTTTGTTCACATGAAAAAAATCTGTATTTTTTGCTAGGAAATTAATTTAAACCCCCAAACATTATATATTTTTTTTAAAGCAGACACCCTAGTGAATAAAATGGTTAGTACAACAATCTTTTATAGCACATAGTACTCGCGCAGCGATTTTTCAAAAGCAAATTTTTTTTTACAAAATACACTTTTTTTACTTTTAATGCACAAAAACACAATATATTGGCCAATTATTTGGTAAACTATAAAAGATGATGGTATGCCAATTAAATAGATACCAAACATGACATGCTTTAAAACTGCGCATGCCCGTGCAATGGCGACAAACTGCATACATTTTTTTATATCCATAGGCAATGCTTTCAAAGCTACCATTTTAGATTTACAGAGGAGGTCTAGTGTTAGAATTACTGCCCTTGATCTGACATTACATGTGAAGTATCACCATGATTGCACAACCGCTGTTTACATACCGCCACAGGGTCAATGCTTGTGCACACAGGTGTGCGTGCATGGGAGGGGCGAGTTTTTTTTTAAAATTATATTTACACTGTAATTTTCTTTTTTTTTTTTTTTTTAGATCACTTTTAATGCTTTCACAGGGAATGCAAATATCCCCTATAACTTCAATGGGCATTGTCATATATTCTTTTTTCAGAAATCTTGGGTCTATCAGACTCTAGATATCTCTTCTTCCCTTACATTATCTAATCAAACCAAAATCAGTGTGATCAGATGCTTTCCCAATTTAAAAATGGCGCTGTATATATCCTGCAAAACTCAAGTGATGAAATGCTCGTAGCTTCTAATTTCTTAGGCTATAGAGATGATTGGCATCACTCTGGTCTCCAATCAGCTCTATGGTCAGCTAGCAGAAACACCGGCTGCATTCTCAGGTTCCCCCAATGGCACGGGACTCCCCGAGAAGGCCGTGGAAGGCAGTGTGGGAGGGGGGGCATCATCTCCCGCTGCTTATAAAAGCAATCCTGCAGCTAATTAACCACTTGGATTGCTTTTATATGAAAGCCGATCGCCGGCTGAAAAAAAAATGATACCAGGATGATGCTTGCAGCTGTAGGAATCATATCATCCTGCTATAACTAAAGTCCAGTGATGTACCAGTACGTCGCTAATCCTTGTTGGGTGTATATGCTATGTTCTTTTTTTTTTTTTTTAATGTAGCCTGTGGGATGAATGAAAAAAAAAAAGAAATCTCTTCCAGAAAAAGTGTGTGGTATGCCCACCATTAGAATATACCGCTCTGCTTCCACCCACTTCTAATGGTGGGCACACATTAGGTCACACTTTGCCACATGCACCAGTTCCAAGATTGAACAAATGTCTAAATAGTGGCATGCTTGAATAAAAATTTGTCCACGTATAAGTGGTACCCCATTTGGAAAAAGGATGACACCAAGCCCAAAACTATCTTGTCACTGCTCCCCATGTAGTCTGGGCATCCAGTGGGCTCCACGTGACTATCTTTTCCCTCGTAAATCCAAACTTATAAGTATAGCCTGTTGTCCCCTCACAGGTCTTCTACATCTTGACCCCATATCTGACCCACTTGCTGGGGAGAAATGGTTTGAATGCAAGGCGGACAGAAAAATTAATCAGGGACTCATCAACGCAGATTTTTTGCTGGGGAGTATAGACATCTGCAAATTTTTGGTTAAGGTGATTTGCGAGGAGCTGAATTTTGTGGAGCCGGTCAAATTCAGGGTATCCCCGAGGACGACAGAGTGTATTGTCATTGAAATGCATAAAACGCATTATACTCTCATATCTATGCCTGGCCATGGCAGCAGAGAACACGGCATATGATGAATCAGGTCTGTGGACCAATACAACCGCAATTTATTTATTTTTTAGCAATGTCCATGTTGAGAGTTAGGCCCAAAACAAAAGGAAATTAGGAAACCGTAATGAGTTTCCATGCAACTGGTCTGGAAAGGTTTGAATTTGGGTTGGTGGCGATAAATTGTTGTGCATATAAATTGCTTTGATCCATAATCAACGCATACAGATATTCCGTGAAAACCGGCTCCAAAAATCAAGGGGAGTAGTTAAATTTGCTATTTCCATCTGAATTCCGGGTTTGGCAGTGAATGGGGGAAGTACAGGGGCTGCAGAATTTGTGGGCTGTCAACTGGGATTTGCAAGCACATCTGGAAGGATACTAGGAGTTCTATGGGCCTGTGTGCGATTTCTTGGTGGCTGCGGGACAATATTTGTGCTCGCCACCGCACCGGCTTGTACTGAACTTATGGGACTCGCCACGTCACCAAGTCATACTGCAGTGCTGGTATTATTATTATACAGGATTTATATGGCGCCAACAGTTTCCTCAGTGCTTTACAGTATAACGGGAGACAATACAGCAACAATACAGTTCAATACAAGAGGGTTAGGAGGGACCTGATCTTGGGAGCTTACAATCTAAGAGATATGTGAAAGACCAAGATGTAATAGACCGCTGGTGCTCGCCACTTCACCAAAAGGTAGCGAGGCACTAGTACTGGCACTCTGCTGCATATGTGAGTCATCAAAATTTACCGGCAAGTGCTAACAGAGATCAGGCCTGATTCTGCGAACACTGCAGTTTTGTGTGAAATGTATCAAGTAACAGTGACCTACTGACACTGTACTTGCTGGGGGAGAAAGGGGGGGGGGGTAAGCGTAGGGGCTAAACGCAGGTGCTGGCAGGTACCAGGGCTGATCCCGCTAACGCTGTGTTTTTGGGGACGCTATACTAATGTGAACGCTGGTATAGTGCTGATCTGATCAAAGATATTGATCCGTTCAGACACTATACTAGCAATGGAGGATTATTGTGTATGAGCGTGTTCCAGGCAATCAAGGGGTTAAATGTGATGACTGGTGTACTGATGGGCAATCTGACGCATCATTTTTCATAAATTTCGGACAAAATGTATTCTGCGACATGTCTTTGCTAAAAAAAAAAAAAAAAACTCAATACGTGTAAATTAATTAAAGATACTGGGATTTTTTTTCTAATAATAATAATAGCGGCTATCAGCGACTTATGGCAGTGACCAGCGAATTATGGCGGGACTGCGGCGGACATTTTGACACTGGGGGGGGGAACTGACTTGGGGTCACTGACATCCCCAGTGACACCAATACAGTGATCAGTGCAAAAAAAAAACACACTGACACTGTACTAATGGCACTGGGGAGGAAGGGGTTAACTTTTTTATTTAATGAAAGGGTTAACTGTGTGAGGGGAGTGTTTAACTAGGGGGCGGGGTGTGTGCTTCACAGGAACACACTGAGATAAACTCTGCTCTCAGGATCAGTGTGTTAGGAACGGACAGGGAGCAGAGCTGCAGTGTGAACACTGCAGCCGTGCTCCCTGTCAGTGATTGCCGGTAATCGCTGGGACCCGGCGGGTAATGACCGGCCGGGACCCGGTGATTGACAGCCGCGGCCACTTCCCGTTTTGCGAAATGACATTTTAAAATGTGATTTTGCACAGCCGTGCCGCCCTGCCACCATTTTAATACAGTGGCTGGTCGGCAAGTGGCTAGAGTAGAATTAAACCCTGTTTGGTAGTGAGCTGCACGAGGAAGCAGTGCATCTTCCAACATCAGGATCCAGTCTTTTCTGTGCACTGGCTCAAATTCACTCATGACCATACACAGTGTTTATATTCATATGTACTGTAGTTGACATGCATTGGACACTTGCTGTAACCCAACTATTGCCAATAGCCATCACAAAATTAAACAGGGCTAGGAGCCAACAACTGGAGATCACGGATATTGGAGAGGGATTGCCTGACAGAACAATATCGTCTATGTTTTGCACAGAAAGTACTGATCTCAGCCCTTTACAGTCAAGGAGAAGAAAACATACTGCTACACAGTGCCAAAGCACTTTCAACCATTGCAGAAAAAAAAAAACAAAAAAAAAAAACCTACTCTTGGTCACAAAAAATTAAACTAAGTTAAATGCAGTTAAAAAGGATGTTCATACATTAGCTTTCAAGAACAGGTTCTCTCTGCTCCCAAAAGATAACACAGATCAACTTCCTCAAATGGAAGAGACATTCTTGCTAGATCTCCATCAAGGGGAAATGCAATCAAGGAGGTGAGAATTTTATGGCCAACAGCTTATAGTCCACAAAATAAAGTTGGCCATACACAGAGCAAGTTTCTGTATCCAAACAAATGCAGCCACTGTTCAGGTTATTCTGACAGCCATGGGTGCATGCTGTCTGTATGCAAGTATGGAAGGGGGTATTGATAGATTTATTATGTTCAGCTTGCAGGGCTGAATGAGTGAAAACTTACAGTGCATGGCCAGTGTTAAAACAGAACTGTAGATGAACCTTATAGTGTCCGCTATGCAGACATTGAGACCATGTACAGATTCATGTATCAAGTACAAAGATTTCTGGAAGGTGGGGGGGCTAGGGGTGCTGTGGCTTGGACGGAATGGAATGTGGTATAATTGCAGAATTTTTAGTGCTGTACTCATTAAAGCACCCTTTCCCTTGTCACCTTGTTCTACTCCCAGAGCCCCCAAACACTCATTTTGACTTTCTAAAACGGTTTTAAAAAACAAAAAAATTTACACTACTCTCTCTTCCTCATGCAACTTAGGCCTGGCAATTGTATCCTCATTCACAAATGCTGTACTGTAGGAGGCAGGGCCTTTTACTGGGTTCTGCAATATGGCGGGCTGTGGAACCAGGTCAGAGAAAGGTAAATACAGAAAGCGTATAGTGCTTCCTTTAAAGTGGGTTTGGTTTGAGGCCACTTTTATTAGGCAAGGGTGCAGGCAACTAGGCAAGGACTTGCCCTGGTCAAAGAAATCAGGCACCAATGTCAAAGTGATAATTAATCAGAGTACACATAGTTGACTTTTATGGCACAAGACCTGGCACAAAGTGGTACATGCCTGGCTGTGTAATTCTTTGTAGTGTAAACCTATACCATTATTCACATCTTACCATATTCACTGCAGCAGCCTGTGTCTCTCTGGCCTCTAATACTGACTTTTCTGGGAGCACCTTTTGATGAGTTATGTGCCGGCAGGGCATCAAAGTGTGCCATCTTGTATATGCTCCATTTGTAAAAGACAAGTCTGCTAAACTGATCTGGATACCAGCCTGTAATGAAGAAAAAATATGGCGTATTTACTTTCTTGCATTCCACCTCCCTTAAACAGTCATTTGGTAAAAGGCTCATTCAGCACATTGAGATTTATTTTTTTCCAATGTTTCATATGATTTCACCAACACCACCTACAGTGCCTGTCTACTAGAGTCCACTGGGTCTAGAGTCTGCACAAGTCAAAAAGAATAAATTCTTCCTGTTAAGGAAGCAGAGAACCTGTAGAAATCAACATGCAGCACTGCCATGTGACAGTTGTACTAAGTGGTGCTTTATGTCCTATAGCAGAACACAGTCCTTTCCACTGAGCTCTAGTCCAAACAGTCCCTATTACACACATGCTACTTTTCCACCTGAACTAGACTGTGCCTGTCTGCTTAGTCTTCATATACCAACTCACATCATTCAGTGTTCAATGGAATGAAGTGTTAAAGGGTCACATGTCAGCAACTTATCCTCCTCAAAGTTTCCAGTGATGAGATTTTTGCACCTGAATCCCAAAGGCTGCCCATTTGCTACAGCAATGTACAAGGTTCCTCACATTCCATGATTTAGCAATAATTGTACTTTGCAGACAAATGAGCAGGATCGAGACTTCATGGCAGAAGACCCTTTGGGATATGTCTCTACCAACTGTTCTCGCTTCTAGATGTAATGTATACTAATAGGCTTATTGACTAAAACCATGAGAAGCCTATACAAACCCCATGCAGACAGGTCCTTCATACACAGTAAAGAAAAACCCACTGTAAGGATTGATTCTTTAAGGCTCTATCTACACCGCAGCATTTTGTAGCTCGAAGCTCCAAGATTCTCAACAAGCAAAATCCTATTCATTTCAATGGCCCCTGTTTACATCTGAGCTTTTAGTCACCTTTAGTGAAACACCTGTTACACAAAAAAGATGCTTCAATACCCACTTAAGTTCCAGGTTTTACCCCCTTAATGACAAGGTCATTTTTTGTTGTTCAGCACTGCACAGTTTAACAGACAACTGTGTGGTCATCCAACACTGTACCCAAGTACAATTTTTATCTTTTTTTTCCCACAAGAATAGAGCTTTCTTTTGGAGGTATCAGGGGTGGCTAACCTGTGGCTCTCCAGCTGTTGTGGAACTACATTTCCCATGAGGCATTGCAAAGATGGGAAGTTACTGACTTGCAGAGGCATGATGGAACTTGTAGTCCTGCAGCAGCTGGAGAGCCGCAGGTTGGCCACCCCTGTATTAGATCATCACTGTGTTTTTTTATATTGTAATATATAAATGTAAAAAATGTTTAAACATTTGAAGAAAAACAAAACAACATTTTTTACTTTCTGTTGTAAAACATTACCAGATAAAAAAAAAAATGAAAAAAAGTCAAATTTCTTCATAAGTTTAGGCCAAAATGTATTCTGCTACATGTGTTTGGTAAAAATAAAAATTCCAATAACTGCATATTAATTGGTTTGTGTGAAAGTTGTAGCGTCTACAAACTATGGGATATATATCTGAAAAGTGCTCAATTCTGATGTACTAATGAGCTCATTTCTTGCAGCCCTTAAAATACCAGTATAGTACAAATACCATTTTTTTGGAAAGTACACAGTCCGGGTCTGTATTTAGTAAGAGACATGGTTAGTTTCTTGAAGTTGTAATTTTTTTGTCACAATATTTTGTAAAATAAAGAAATTAAATAACATTTATTTTTTTTACAATTTTTTTTTTTTTTTTTACATACGGTCACCACTGCAGTACAGCGTCATCATATGACTGGTGTGGCAGTAATCTGGGACACTGACTGGCGACAGTATGTAAAATAAATACATACTTTTTTAAAAATAATATTTTTAAACTTTTTTAAAACTTTTTTTTTTTGTTTTACATACTTTTTCATCAGATAAGTTCAGTGTCACCATAGTAACACTGTACTACTCTGGGGGGTGATCAAGGATTTTTTTTTTTTTTTTTAACACTTTGATTGCTGTTACAATGAAATTCACTGCAGCATTTGAAACTGTCATGAATGGATTACATTCATTGCTGTGATTACTAGTTATCTATGATTGGCGACAGGGTACTGTAATTGTCCCAGGTACCATGTGATAGCTGTGGGGCAATCACGGCATCACTGTAGTATAGGAAGCACAGCGGTTATGAATGATTCATTCATAACTGCTTTGTTGACATTGTGAACATGTAATTCCTAGGCTGTCAAAGCAGCCCGATACTGGGAGTTGCAATCCGCTGTGTCCGGTCACGGGAGGGCCGCAGTGTGCTCCTAAACAGAAGCAGGATGGATGACATACAAGTATGATTGTGCATGTATGTCATCTAGCCTGCTTGTGCTGCCTGCCTGCCCGCAGTAAATGTACGACAATAAAATGCTTGTACGAGACTTCTAAAACACTCATATACACTTGCTAAACCCAAATCTAAATGCCTGAAAAGTGCTCTGCATGGGTGTGAATGCAGCCTAAAGGATACCTGTGCTGGAAGTAATACAGGCACTGAAATTGTCAGCCTATAATCTAGGGAAAGATAACTGATACATAGAACTCATATGAAAATGGGAAATCCTGACTTCACAGGCTGCACACTAGTTCTGGGTTAATGCCTCAAAAAGTGCAAAAGCCATTTTATTAGCATTACAGCCAGGTATGTAGCATTTTCAGGTGGAAGTCATAATTAGCACCTTTTACATTTCTTTCAGTAAAAGTTTTCTGTAAAAAAAAAAAAAAGGGATATGACCCTAACAAATGATTTCATTACACATTGCAACAAACACTCTGAATAGGCGATTAAGAAACACTGCTGGGCAATCAATGAATGACTGTTCACTTTGTTAAATGATACTTGATTAAAGAGCTTGCTTTCAGTGCACCACTAATGTTTATTCTTACACAGTGACATGTTGAAAATTTCTGAATGTTGCACACATATGTGAACTGAAAGCCACTTCATGAATAATAGTTTTCAAGGGTTCTCTGCAAAAGAAGTGAAGATGTATGTGATATACCAGGCACTCTTCTCGATGGATCCTTCCAGCCGAACACACATCCACTCTTAAATCTTCTGCTGCAGAGCACTCTGTAAAATAGAGGCTCTGAAGAGCTCATTAAACACCACTGTCTCTGCTACAGGGTATACTTTGGTCCGAAAGAGGCAACTCATGTCACCTGACGATGGAAGAATGGCAACCCGAATATATCTGTGTAAAAAAAGAAAGAAAAGCCATTTACTACAATGTAACAAGTAGCCATTGAAGTATGAAGGGAGTCTGCACTGGTTTCTTGCACTTTGATCCAATGGGTATTACCCATGGGATTTTTTTGTGAACAGATCCCATCCCACATTATTACAGTATTTTATATGCCACTTGCAGTTATCAGGTCTTCTAAAAGTATTCATACCCCTTGAAATTTTCCACATTTTGCCATGTTACAACCAAAAACGTAAATGTATTTTATTGGGATTTTATGTGATAGACCAACACAAAGTGGCACATAATTGTGAAGTGAAAGAAAAATGATTTTCAAAATTTTTTACAAATAAACTGAAAAGTGTGGCGTGCATTTGTATTCACCCCTCTGAGCCAATACTTTGTAAAACTACCTTTCACTGCAAATCTTTTTGGGGATGTCTCTACCAGCTTTGCACATCTAGAGTGAAATTTTTGCCCACTCTTCTTGCAAAATAGCTCAAGCTCTGTCAGATTGGATTGAGAGCGTCTGTGACCAGCAATTTTCAAGTCTTGCCACAGATTCTCAATTGGATTTAGGTCTGGACTTTGACTGGGCCATTCTAACACAAATATGCTTTGATCTAAACCATTCCATTGTAGCTCTGGCAGTATGTTTAGAGTTGTTGTCCTGCTGGAAGGTGAACCTCTGCCCCAGTTTCAAGTCTTTTGCAGACTCTAACAGGTTTTCTTCTAAGATTACCCTGTATTTGGTTCCATCCATCTTCCCATCAACTCTGACCAGCTTACCTGACCCTGCTGAAGAAAAGCATCCCTACAACATGATGCTGCCATGTTTCACGGTGGGGATGGTGTGTTCAGGGTGATGTGCAGTGTTAGTTTTCCAACACACATAGCGTTTTGCTTTTAGGCCAAAAAGTTCAAATTTGGTCTCTTCTCACCAGAGCACCTTCTTCCACACGTTTGCTGTGTCCCCCACATGGCTTCTCGATAACTGCAAATGGGACTTCTTATGGCTTTCTTTCAACGATGTCTTTCTTCTTGCAACTCTTCCATAAAGGCCAGATTTGTGGAGTGCGCTACTAATAGTTGTCCTGTTGACAGATTCTCCCACCTGAGTTGTGGATCTCTGCAGCTCCTCCAGAGTTACCATGGGCCTCTTGGCTGCTTCTCTGATTAATGCTCTCCTTGCCCGGCCTGTCAGCTTAAGTGGATGGCCATGTCTTGGTAGGTTTGCAGTTATGCCATACTCATTCCATTTTAGGATTGTGGATTGAACAGCGCTCCGTGAGATGTTCAAAGCTTGGGATTTTTTTTTTTTATAACCTAACATTCTTTAAACTTCTCCACAGCTTTATCCCTGACCTGTCTGGTGTGTTCCCTGGCCTTCATGATGCGGTTTGTTCACTAATGTTCTCTAACAAGCCTCTGAGGGCTTCACAGAACAGCTGTATTCATACTGAGATTAAATTACACACAGGTGGACTCTATTTACTAATTAGGTGAGTTCTGAAGGCAATTGGTTCCACTAGAGTTTAGGTAGGGGTATCAGAGTACAGGGGGGATGAATACAAATGCACACCACAATTTTCAGATATTTATTTTTAAAAAACTTTGAAACCCATTTATCATTTTCCTTCCACTTCACAATTATGTGCCACTTTGTGTTGATCTATCACATACAGTCAGGTCCATAAATATTGGGACATCGACACAATTCTAACATTTTTGGCTCTATACACCACCACAATGGATTTGAAATGAAACAAACAAGATGTGCTTTAATTGCAGACTGTCAGCTTTATTTGAGGGTATTTACATCCAAATCAGGTGAACGGTGTAGGAATTACAACAGTTTGCATATGTGCCTCCCACTTGTTAAGGGACCAAAAGTAATGGGACAGAATAATAATCATAAATCAAACTTTCACTTTTTTTTTTTTATTATAAATATTTATACATTTTCGACAAAATTCATATTACAATCCTTTTCCCCACTTAAAGGAAAAAAGAAAACAAACAAAACGATACAATTTTACAAATATTTATCTCCCTAAAATAACAACATAACCCTCCCCATCTACCCACCCCTCCCACCCCCCATCCAACTACTCTGCGTTTTCCCCCTGCCCCACTATAGCGAGCGATCATAATATATCTAGTAGAGTTTTATATCTTCATATATTTCACCTTTCCTTTAAAATCCTCCCATTTTTCCCATTTTGCATGAAATATCCCCATCTTATCTACGTGCATATAATAAAGTTTCTCCATCTCACAAATCTGATTCACTCTAACTACCCAGTCGTCTTCCGTTGGTACTTCCCTTTTTCGCCAATACCTGGGTATCAGACTCTTTGCGGCGCTTAATAAATACCATATACCCGAATTCTTATATGTTTTGACTGGTACCTCCGTATTATGGAAAAGACAAACCCCTGGGTCCAATCTAATATTAACTTCAGTAATCTTCCCCACTACGTGAACTATTTTCTTCCAGAATATTTGTATTTTTGAACACCTCCACCATATATGATACCACGTGCCTATCTCTCCACACCCCTCATCCAACACAACGGTGAAATCTCCCCATTCATCCTATTTTCAACTTTCGGTGTTATGTGCCATCTTATCAAACATTATAATTTACTTCAACCTCTCCCATACTAATATTTTCATGAATTAATCTATATATTTTTTCCTGCATCCCCTCGTCTTATTTCCATCCCCAAATCTCTTTCCCATTTCTCTATATACATCGGTTTAGTGCTAATATCTATATCAGTGAGAATTGTATCAATTTTTGCAATTCCATGTTTCCCATCACCCCTTTCATCTAAAAATCTTTCAAATGGATTCCAATCCTTCCTAGTTCTCAAAGGTCTTGGGAGTCCTCCTACAAAGTGCTTCAATTGGTGATAATCACCATTCATCCATCCTATTGAAAATATACCCTTTTTTCTTTTCCAACTCCTTTAATGGTCCCAATTCCTCCCCCACCATTATATCTCCCAATCGTGCATCCTCTTTTATAATCCATTTTCCTGTGATACCCTCCCTACCTGGAGCAAAAAACTCTTTGTTCCTTAATGGCATTAACAGTGAATTAAAAACCCACCCCTTCTGTCTGTGCATTACCGTATTTTTCGCTCCATAAGACGCACCTGACCATAAGGCGCACCTAGGTTTTAGAGGCAGAAAACAGGAAAAAAAAATTCTGAACTAATGGACTGCAGACATAGTACAGGAGATGACCAGAGACTGCGGACACAGTACAGGAGATGACCAGAGACTGCGGACACAGTACAGGAGATGACCAGAGACTGCGGACACAGTTCAGGCGATGACCAGAGACTGCGGACACAGTACAGGAGATGACCAGAGACTGCGGACACAGTACAGGAGATGACCAGAGACTGCGGACACAGTGCAGGAGATGACCAGAGACTGCGGACACAGTGCAGGGGATGACCAGAGACTGCGGACACAGTGCAGGGGATGACCAGAGACTGCGGACATAGTACAGGAGATGACCAGAGACTGCGGACATAGTACAGGGATGACCAGAGACTACGGACACAATACAGGGATGACCAGAGACTGCGGACAGCACAGGGGATGACTGCTGACCTTTGGGGAGGGGGGGGAGCGGGTACCTGAATTTGACAGATACCCGCTCCCACTTCCGCAGAGTTGTTCTTTCATCTTACCTGTTCCTCTATCTAGCCGCGCGCTGTCTTCCCGGCTTCTGTAATGGCGCTCGGCATGACAGCCGGGTGCCCAGTGCGCATGAGCGAGAAGCACTTGCGCTTTGTGATTGGTCCGGGCTTCTGGGATCTGTCATGTGTCCCAGGTGCCGCCTTACCATTCACAAAAAGCACCGCTTCCTGCGCATGCGCACTTGGCACCCGGCTGTCATGCCCACACTACAGAAGCCGGGAAGACCGCGCCGCTGGATAGAGGAACGGGTAAGATGAAAGAACAACTCCATGGAAGTGGGAGCGGGTATCTGTCAAATTCAGGTACCCGCTCCCCCCCCCTCCCCAAAGGTCAACAGTCATCTCTATAAGATCCCGCTGTAGAGCTGAGCGGCCGGCCCGGTATTCTGACACGGCGGCAGTGGAAATACCGGACTGGCCGCTCCATATTCACTCCATAAGACGCTCTGACATTTTCCCCCCTTTTTTGGGGGGAAAAAAGTGCGTCTTATGGTGCGAAAAATACGGTATATCCCAAACTCTCAAAACATTTAAAGTGTACAAACTTTCACTTTTTAATACTTGGTTGCAAATCCTTTGCAGTCAATTACAGCCTGAAGTCTGGAACGCATAGACATCACCAGACGCTGGGTTTCATCCCTGGTGATGCTCTGCCAGGCCTCTACTGCAACTGTCTTCAGTTCCTGCTTGTTCTTGGGGCATTTTCCCTTCAGTTTTGTCTTTAGCAAGTGAAATGCATGCTCAATCAGATTCAGGTCAGGTGATTGACTTGGCCATTGCATAACATTCCACTTCTTTCCCTTAAAAAACTCTTTGGTTGCTTTTGCAGTATGCTTTGGGTCATTGTCCATCTGCACTGTGAAGCAGCGTCCAATGAGTTCTGAAGCATTTGGTTGAATATGAGCAGATAATATTGCCCGAAACACTTCAGAAATCATCCTGCTGCTTTTGTAAGCAGTCACATCATCAATAAATACAAGAGAACCAGTTCCATTGGCAGCCATACATGCCCACGCCATGTTGTGGTGAACCCTCTGTATTCACTCTGGTGAAGTCTTCTCTTGATTGTTGACTTTGACACACATTCACCTACATCCTGGAGAGTGTTCTTGATCTGGCCAACTGTTGTGAAGGGTGTTTTCTTCACCAGGGAAAGAATTCTTCGGTCATCCACCACAGTTGTTTTCCATGGTCTTCGGGGTCTTTTTGTGTTGCTGAGCTCACCGGTGCGTTCCTTCTTTTTAAGAATGTTCCAAACAGTTGTTTTGGCCACGCCTAATGTTTTTGCTA